GCTGAGGGTGCTCTCAATGCCACCACCCGTGTCGCTGACCAAGAAGTTGAACGGTACCAGCCCCCACACCGAACCCTGAGGAACGCCGCTCATCACTGCTCACAGACAGCTCCTCAGCACTCCACTCGTGCTCTGGCGGTTCTGTGCTGGGTCTGCGCAGAGGTTGCCTGGTGCTTTTCCCATAACGAATGGAATTTTCAAGTAACTAGTGACTTTGCTTTCCTCTTCCTGTGACATTACTGGGAAATGGAGACATTGCCATATAGATGTGTCCAACGTAACACTGGCTTCCCGGTTGTAGCTGGAATAGTTGTAGTTCTTAAACGATTTTCTTTCTGGCTTTCCTATGTTCTGTGATTTTCATTAGAGAATTTGTTTTTCTTAGAGAATCTTTCAAATATTTTTCTTCGTATTATTTCTGATGCTGTTTACTTGCAAGAATTCACCCTCTTTCTAGCATTTCATACGCTTTTAGAAAGGGGCACAGGCAGTTTGTCCTCCCATGAGGGGATTTTCACTAGTAACTGTTGATTGAGAGTTTTAATTTGTAGGTAGACAGTTTTGAAGTACCTGCAAATGGCCTTATCTGAACAAAATGCTGATCTCAAACTCTGAAACTCTGGAGTCACTTGTCATTTCCGTAAGTCACTGCCAGTATGATTAATGCTGTTTTCATCTGAGATCAGAACACGCAGTCTCAGTGCTGCTTTAAGTGTACTTTTTGAAGGATGAAGCGCAGAAATAAGGTTTCTAGTAGCAAGTGTTTCCTGATGTGCTAATGAAGTAGTTTGGTAACTGAAACAACTTGCTTAAATTGACCATACCTTGAACCTGAGTTTTTCTGCTAATGACATTTGACTCCCATAGTGCTCTGACATTGTTTAAACCATCGTTCTTTCAGTCTTCCTGCTGAAAAGGTTTAATTATTGTACAGCCTCGCTGTATGTATATGTCAGTCCCAGTAATGACATTATTACTTAGGGTTGTACTACAAGTGTTGACATTCAGTTTCCCATTTTAAATACTAATTCAGCCTACAGTATTAGAGCTGCTCAGACTTTGCTTATGGCAGAGAAGTTCATTTGACTGGAGATGGATAAATTGTTTTCTTCCTCAGTTTGTTTTTATTGTTGTAAAGCCAAATGGATTTTTCATTCGGCTGAAGAATGCCGGACCTGAAATGCTGCATTCTTTGCCCCTGTCTGCAGGCGGGTAGTAAATACAGCAACTTTGGGTGAGGCCGGTCAGCTGAGAATGAATAATCATTTCATTCATCTGGCTCTTGTTTATAGTGGAGTTTTTTATTTTGGTGTCTTTTAAACTAAACATCGCAGATCCTTTTTCTGGAGCTCTTCCAATAGCTTTTTAACAGCTCATTATTGCCTTGTGTTGAGACCAGTAGACCAAAATACCATTTTTTGGTAATGTTAGCTACCAGCAGGAAGACTTCTGCTCGTATGTGTTTTTCTCTTCAATGCGGAGATGAGTTAGCTTGCTCGTCAGGAGTTCAGGTTCTGGCGCTATAGCTACTGCGGTGTGATTTACTTGTGAAGCCTTTTCCTGTGACTGTGGCTACACGATAGCCTGCCCTCCTGGAGAAGGCTAATTTCGGGCTCGGTGTGCTTGACTCCACGGCGAGGACGGCAGCAGCTGGGCGCATAGGAACGAGTGATGGCAGCGAGCAGCGTCCCTCCCTGCGCTCAATCCAGGCCCGATGGGTCTAACTGGCTGCCCTCCTCTTTCATCTTTTCATCGATTGTTCTTTCCCCGGTGGAATCCAACAATGTTTGGCTTATTAATGCCTAGGACTGTCTTGGAAGTCATGTATGTCGTCAGGCACAACATCCTCAGCTAAGTCATAGGCTTGGCTTTGTGAGCTTTGTCCTTTTTAGAGGCAGTCGAAAAGGTGTAGTCTGAGGGGAAGCTGCCATGCTCCTATGCCCCAGGCAGCATGAGAGTCAAAGAACTTGGCATTTAGCCTCTTTTCCTGGATTCCTACCTTATAATGATGTGCAGCAAGGCCAGGGGCTATAGAACACAGGAAGTGCCTGTCCTCACCTGAAGAGACACCACCAGCATGTGGGGTCAGTCCACCCTTTAACACGCTTTCAAACGGTGCCTCGACAGCGGCTCTTTGCTAGAGGTAGGATTTCTGTGTATTAGAATAAGCTATAGAACGTAAAATACTTTTTCTAAAACCTGTTGTTTGTTTTCCTTTGCAGAATAAGAGAGCGTGTGGAGTCTGGAAGGTGGGAGCACGGGACAATGCTGCTGAAAGGAATCTGAGCCGCAGAGCATGCGTCGTGCCACAGTTACCCAGGTACGCCCCAGCGGGGTACTTTGTGCCCCTCTAATGAGCCCGAGATTTATTGTGCTTGTCGCCCGATTGCTTATCACCCGTGGCCAGGGAGACCCTCGGCCCCAGACCAGAATGATGCTCTGCTTTCATTGTTCCATCTGGATGGCACTTGCAGTCTGAAACCTTCTAAAGCCTTTTATGTGTGTTGTAGTTTTAATGTTACCCAATTGCTAAATGCCAGCTGGTCTCTCTTTAAGTGCTATGCTGGTTTACATTCTGAGGTAGGCTGGACATTTCGGTGTGTGTTCTTAGAAATCTGTTTCTTTTACATATGGAGAAGATATAAATGAGGTGCTGAACTATGTATCTGCAAGTAGTTTTGAGACTTGCTCCAGACTGTTGTTAGAAACTACTCCAGTTGCCTCCCCTGCAGATAATCTGCAGGTTTCAGCAGTCAAAAGCAGTGAGGTAGAGGCATCTGTCATTGTTTTGCACACCGGTGTGTCTAATGAACCAATGCAGATTTTTCAGGATGTTTTGGTAGGAAATGTGAAACGTTCTGATGGGTTTGGTTTTTTTCCCCCCTTAGAAAAAATTTTTGGGACGAATATTTAAAATCTTCATTTCAGTGCAGACAGTTCTCTGCTGTCTAATTATATGCTTATGCTAAAGAAAGATGTTTAGGGGTAAAGATCTGCCTTACATGATGGAGTCTAGGATTTCTCCAAAGCAATTAATTCTGTGACCTGGGAGCCATCACAGCCCAGTAGCACTAGCGGTCTGATAGCACTGAATACACACATAAATAAAAATCATAGGATTACGTAGTGTGTCTGTGGAATGGAAGCTAGCTTTTCTACTAGCACCAGCTGGCAAGTGGGAGTAGAGAAGCAAAGCAAACAAACAGGAGAGAAAAGTGGGAAGAACAATAGTGATCGTCTGAAAACTGACACATTAGGAGACCGGCATGAAGAATGACAAACTCCTGTCACAGGATGTTTTGCATAGCAACAAGTTCTTCTCTTCAAGTGGACTTTGGTGTAACTGCAGCACTTGCTTCCTGTATGAGATAAAGAGCTGTTGTAGTCTGAATGCACTTTAATCTCTCTATCTAAATTGGACTAATAATTAAAAAGAATTAGGTGAAGGAAATGATAGCAAAGTCTATTGCTCCTGAAAGTGTTTCCTCTTATTTTGCTGTCAGAGACGCGAGAACAGAAACACGTGTAAAGGAAACAGATTAAAGATGAACTTTTTCACCAGGTGCTGAATGCTGTCTACAAACTGCTTTGTCGATGAAGGAAGAAACTGATTGGGAATTGAAAGCGCGAGCTAGTTCGTAATCCCGTTCAACATGCGCAAAGGGGTGCCAAAGGACCCAGAAATAGCTGACCTGTTCTACAAAGATGATCCTGAAGAAATATTTGTGGGTTTACATGAAATCGGACATGGAAGCTTTGGAGCAGTTTACTTTGTGAGTATAGTTCTTCACCTCCTTTTTGAAAAATGTCAGTTAGAACGGTTCCATTTCAGAGATTTTCAGCATTTATAACAATGAGTGTTCTTTGAGCCCTTAGTGCTTTGTGCATATTGGCTTTTTCCTAACACATCTCAAAAATTAAGTGTTCCCAGAGCACTCCTGAGCTCTTCAGGCAACTGCGGCTATAAATACAGCTGTGACAGTGTAGTCTTCATAGTGCCCTCAACCATCCAGGTTAAGTGTGTGGTATCATGTGCTGTTGCTGAAAGTTGGATTTAAACACTTGGAAATCAATTTGCCAAACTGGAATTTCAGGATACTCTACTCAGTGCTCATAGGCTTGTGAATCGTTGCAAATTAACAGATTGAGTGAATTAACGATTCAAAATGCATTTGGGGTTAACAGCTACTTTGTTAACGAATTGGGACTGTGGCTGTTAAGGTAAAGATACCGTGGAAGTCGCATCAAATTGTATGCAGGCTTCTGAATGATTTCTCTGCTGCTCTGGCAACTTACAAGTTAAAGATATCTTGGAAATATCATTTTGTTCTGCCACCCGGCTTGTCCCCATGTCCATCTCATAAGATCCTCTCTTTAATGGCACATGCTGACATGGCAAAAGCAAAGAGAAAGTGTTAAGAGGAATGGGAATTCAAGTGGGAAGGGTGTATTGCTTTAATTGATAGTCGGGAGGATTTCATTTGGAAAGTGAGATGAATAGTGCTTTTACATTTAGTATCAAAGAAAGCCAAATACAGAATACTGGATTTGGAAAAGATTATAATCTAGTCACTATCAGTGAAATGAAAATAGACTTCACTATTAAAAAAAAAAAAAGCAGACAAATTAAAGCTGCTCAGTAGCATGGCCTGCCACTCCAGAGGATCAAGTTCACTAGAACTGAGGTTTCTGAGGATCAGACGAACGGCTGTAGCTAAGTACCCTTACACCTGTAACTCCACAGCCCGGCAGTAGCTAGCATGAGTTATTTGCAAGCGCTCCATTTCACTGTTCGTAGCTGTGTACAGTGATGGAGGTGTTGCTGGCACAGGACCCGCTGTTCTGTCAGATAAGCGGCGCACGTATGTTTTGAGGGATAACAATGTAATTCCTCAGCGTACAATATGGTAGTAACGATACAGTGGAGTTTCTGCCATGGGGATGTCAGCACTGGGACAGGCACTTTTCAGTCTTGGGGTGACAGGTCAGTGAAAGTACAATGTTTAACGTACTACACGTGTAAGAGGATGAGGCTGTAGAACTTGCAGTATATGTTGAACCACCCCATAAGAAGAGCAGGGGAGTAGGGAAGTCCAGCCAGGTGTACTTCAAACCCAAAGGATGTGTGGTGTGCTTCAGGGTAAAGATGAAGTAATGAAGGTGCCACGTGTACCATTCAGCCCCGGTGTGCAGGAGTTCCTCCTGCTCCCAGGGAAGGAGGGTGAGGAGTGTTGACAATGTAATCTGCCAAGCAGCCTTACAACTGAGGTGTCACTGGTTAGGTAGAACACTTGTGATTCCCTGATGCTTCTCTTCCTCCGTTCCTGGATGCTTTATTTAACTGGTGTGCACTTCACAAACGCTGGAGAGTTTAGCCAGACCACAGCCTCTTGCCATATCCCAGCAGCAGCTGCCTCCTCCGGGCGCGATGGGGCTTGCACCCTGCCTGCAGTAACACTGCTGCAGTACCACGGTGACCGGGTGCACCGCCGCTTTTCTGCGATACATCCACGCTTCTTTGCCACTGTTGGACACAGGCTTTCCTTCTTGTTGCATGAAGCACTTGGCATCCAGTAAATTGTTCTTCGGAGTCCTTGCCCTGTCTCGCTGTCTGCGTAAGTCGCAAGCGGGAACTCACCTGGTTACGGTTTGCATGCGCAATCGCCCGGGATCCATCTGTTTGAGGAAGGCCTCTAGCGATACCCCGCTTTGTACAGGGTGTGCTGGGGCTTCTCCCTGCCGTACAGGGCGTGCTGGGCATCTTTGGTTTGCCTTTCCTCCTTTCTGAAAGCTTTCATTGCCTGGCGTCTCGATTCCTACGCATCTTGGAGTAAACAGGGACTAAGAATAAGATCTTGGGTCGTCATGGCGAGACTCCAAGGATCCTGATGTGCTTGGTATCAGAAAGAAGTCAAAAAACCTTTGAAGGACAGGGCTTTCTAAATATCCCAAAAGAATGGGGAAGAGACTTCACATGCATGAAAAGGGGCAGGGCATGGATTGTGATGCTGTTGTTGTGTCTCTGACTTGCATTTAAATTGGCTCTGATGCTGCTACAAACAGCAAATACATCGATTTGTGTCTTGTCACTGTTGTTACAGTGGATGAATGTGATTATTCCTTTAATAATTTATGATTACACACTTCAATTTAAGCCAGTTTCTGCAAGCTGTTTTGGTTTCCAGTGTACTATTGCCAAGGTCTGGCAAGATAACGTGAAATTTTTCTTACTTGGGCGAAATGATACTTCATGTATTATGAGCCTAAGAAAAAGATAACGTCGCTTCTCACAAGGTTTTAAAGTTGATGTTAAACTGACTTGAAATCAACTAAGCTGATATCACACTTAACTTGAGAAGAACAGTTTTCTTCAAAAACAACCTACTTGTAGCCATGTTAGAAATCTGGAGAAGTGGTAAAGCAGATGAGGGCAGTGAAAAGGAGTTTTTGTAAGCAAAACATGCTTGTTTTCTGCCAAGCTTTTCACGGAAGGCCTACAGGTGTGGACAAAACCACTTCAGCAAGCGGATATTTAAGTGTGCTTGCGCAGCCCTTTACATTATTTCAGCCGGGAGGATCCCAAGCGCTCGGTGCAGCAAGAACATCCCCCAGATCTGTGAGAACGTGGCAGTGCGCCGTGCAAAGCGAGGGGTACCGTGTTCACGTGAAGACCCTTGGAATTAACGTAACAGACAGAGATGCCTGGAAGTCTTCAGAAACACCTGTATTAACACATCTGTTTGAGTAAAATACTCTTGATCTTTTATGTGCTGGACCAGAACGGTACGTGGTTAGGAAGGGTCCAACCTCTTGAGGTTTGGGACAAGGTCCAAGCTTGTCTGAAAGATACTTGTTTTGAGCTGTCTCCAAGCCATGGGAGGAGGACTGTGTGCTGTGAAGAGTCTGTGTGTCAACTCCCTCTTGTAATTCCTGTGCCCTGTTGGTTCACCCAACACCATTTTTCTTTGAAGTCACTCTATACATCATGAAATGTCTTTCAGTAGCACATGACTTGAAAGTATAGCATTCATCCTCTCAAGCAACTGAAAGAAGGATTTACCACATTTAACTTCTATTGTATTCTGAGGTTTTAACTGTCATTAACTTTTGTCTCAAAAATGGGAAATGGTTGGAGGTATTGGGATTTCAGCAACTCTAAGACTAAAACTTTCAGGTTTTCTGTCCTTAACGTGCAGAAATGAGGGCAGTGCTGATCCAGGCAAGTAGAGCCCCTCCAGAAACTGAGTTTTCAGCTTCTGGTCACCATCTCTGTGTCATACAGGCTGCAGAAAAGTAGAATTTGACTGACTGAGTAGTATTCACTGTACAACTGAGATCTGGTGCAAAGTAAAGTTGTTTTTTAAAATTGAGATAAATTCCAGAATGAAGCATCTTCTTGAAACTGGAAATGGAAACAGCTGTTAGAGAATATCAATGTTGTATGGGGCTTTGGATGAGATTTTTGTATACCTATGGATTTATTTGTTTGGAAAACATTTTTCCAAAGGTTTATCTAAAACTGGTTTTACTGTCATTCCAATAAAACTTAGAACATACAAAAGACAGTGCGTGCAACATTGGGCCTTGGTTTGCATATCGAGAGAGAGGTAGCAGTGCAGTAAGGGCCGAGGGAGGAACAGTGGATACTGACAGATTGATGAAGTCAGGAAGAAGAGTCACCGTAGCTGTCTGGTAAATCCTGTCACAAGGAAGGTGTCTCTGAAGCGTAGCAGCTTGCCAGGATGCAATATAGGAGAAAAAAAGCCGGCATTTGCCAAAGGCACGGCTCGCTCCGTGGGGAGGAGAAGCAATGAAACTGTTCTCAATCGATTTCTTTCTCTCTACTCCAGGCTACAAATTCCCACACTAATGAGGTGGTGGCAGTCAAGAAAATGTCCTACAGTGGAAAGCAGACGAACGAGGTGAGACAAACGAAGCCAGTCCTGCCTGCGGAAGGTGCTGCAACCCTAATGGAAATCTGAACAGTGAAACGAGTTGTGTGTGTCATTTGACACTAGCAGACCAGCTTTTTAGTGCTGGAGTTGCATTAAAAATACTGCAATTCTCGAGCTATTTAAATATGTACTGGGGAGGTGTCTTAATCCTGTAGAGATCCAGACAACTTCAGTTGCATACGGTTGTGCTTTTGCAACTGTGACTCTTTAGTAGCCTTCATATTGTAAAATGGTTTTGTGGTTGTTTTTCAGGCTGTACTACCATGTGTGGTGTGTGAGAGTATGTAGGGCATGAAGCAAAGAAATGTATTTTTACCTTTTTTTGCCTTTTTTATATTAGAAATGGCAGGATATCATCAAAGAAGTCAAGTTTCTACAGCAGCTGAAGCACCCCAACACCATAGAATATAAGGGCTGTTACCTGAAGGAGCATACGGCGTGGGTAAGTGAGGGATGGGGTGTCTAGAGGTCTGAATGAGCAGAAAATATAGGGTACAGCAGTCAAATATTCAGTACACGCAGTACCTTTACATGCAGCAGCATTCATCCCACACTGCCTGTAGTCCCTTTCATCAGAAGGAGCTTCCAGGTAATTGAAAGAGAATAGATATTTGGGATATTAGAACAAATCCCTGGTTCTCTGAGCAGGCCTCTGTTCATAATAAACACCTATTATGGAACATCCTCTACAATGTCTCCCCACAGACTTCTCTGTGCCTAAACCTTTACAACAATGAAAGGTGGCTTGACATGGCTGGAATCTTGGGAGCATTTTGTTTTGTTCATCACTTACTCCATTTCTTGCCACTTAGGGTTTTATTTGCTTCTACTGGTTCTCAGCCAGTCAAGTAATAACTGCAGGGGAGTGTCTGTTACTTAAAATCATGCTTTTTTCTTGCAGCTGGTTATGGAGTACTGTTTAGGATCAGCTTCTGATTTACTAGAGGGTAAGTGTTATATAAGCTTTGATTTTCCTTTTGCTAGTGCCCCTTCTGAGGGTGGTGGGAGGCTGTTTTCTTAGGCTGGTACGTTGCAGATGGCAGAGGTGATGTGTCTATACTGCTCCATGCTGTAGCCAGAATGTGGTTTGTGATACCAAGGGTAAGCTGAGACTTTCCCAGGACGCCAGTGCTGCGGGTACTTGGCACGCACACTTGGATGTCGGAAAGCGAAGGTATACGTGTATGCAGTGATGTTCCTGTGACTTCCACCTGCTGGATGACGGAAGCAGGCTGCCTGTTTTCTGAATATCTGTAACAAAAACCTGCAGAGATCACCTTTTGGCCTTTTGCGGTTTGTAGGAATAATCACAGATGGTTTCATAGAACAAGAGTCTGATACAACCTCAAAACTGATACAACCTCAGCACCTGCAGAGGAATAGGGGATCTAAGCCAAAGTTTCCAAAAAGTAGTGCTCTCTGTGGGCTGTATCTTTGTATCTGAGATACGGTCGGCAAAAGCACATGCTGATCACATTTAGGGATATATGGAATGTGCTTTAGGGCATCTCTTTGTAGCTGGTATTCCTCATTTTTCTAGTTTTTGTCTGTTGGGGATAAAAAAGTGGCAAGTTTTCCTTGCTAAAGACCAAATGAGTATTTGAAGTACATTTGGCAAGTGGCAATCAGATGTGTTGACAGTAACTGTTGGCCCTAGTAGGACCATGAAGAAGAGTGTGATTTCCTATGATGTGAAATACATGCAAAGGCTGTGCATAGACTCAGAGCTGCTGATGGCCATCAGGCAGTAGGAAGCTACTACAATGATGATGATCACCTCATAGCTGGCAAATAGCAGCCCAGAAAGCCATCCGTATCCTGGGCTGTATCCAGAGAAGTGTGGCCAGCAGGTCAGGGAGGGGATTCTGCCCCTGTACTCTGCTCTGGTGAGACCCCACCTGGAGTGCTGCGTCCAGCTGTGGAGCCCTCAACATCAGAAGGATATTGACCGCTTGGAGCGAGTCCAGAGGAGGCCACGGAGATGCTCCGAGGGCTGGAGCCCCTCTGCTATGGGGACAGGCTGAGAGAGTTGGGGTGTTCAGCCTGGAGAAGAGAAAGCTCCAGGGAGACCTTATTGCCGCCTTCCAGTACCTGAAGGGGCTACAAGGAAGCTGGGGGGGACTTTTTACAAGGGCCTGTAGTGACAGGACAAGGGGGAACGGGTTTAAATTGAAAGTGGGGAGGTTTAGATTGGATATCAGGAAGAAATTCTTCCCGCAGAGGATGGGGAGGCACTGGGACAGGTTGCCCAGAGAAGCTGTGGATGCCCCATCCCTGGAAGTGTCCAAGGCCAGGCTGGATGAGGCTTGGAGCAACCTGGTCTAGTGGAAGGTGTCCCTGCCC